GGCACAAACTCTGTTTAAAAACTTCATACAAATTTGAGACCCCTTTGTCCAAAGATGCTCTAAAACAAATTTGGTCAAAACCCTTATATTGGTTAAGGAGAATAAGGTTTTTGAAGATTTACCTATTTTCCCCTTATTTGGCCAGCCCCTCTGCCCCCAGGGGGGCCATACCCTACATTTATACAAAATTGAGAATCCTTTGGCAATGATGCTACAGACCAAATTTGGTCAAAATCCTCTGAGCAGTTAAGGTATATAGCGTTTTAAAGGAAAAGGGGCACATCCACCATTTATAGATATGAAAATCCCTTTGCCCAAAGATGCTTTAGAACAAGTTTGGTTAAAATCCCTTTATCGGTACAGAAGGAGAAGGATTATTAATGTTTTCCTCTATTTCCCCTAATGGGCCCCACCCATCTGCCACAAAGAAGGAGGCACACACCTCAGTTTATACAAAATTGATACTTTTGTCCCTAAGCATGCTTCAGACTGCATTTGGTTTATATCCCTTCACTTGTATAGTAGGAGAACAAAATTCCTATATTTCCCCTATTGGGCCTTGCACCTCTGCCCCAACAAACTCCTTTTATACAAACTTGAGGCTCCTTTGTTCAAAGATGCTCTAGAACAAAGGACTATGTATGGTTTGGGCCTTTTTTAGCCCCCAAATCCATCAAAACAAAAAATCTGCAACAGAACTTTAAAATGACTGTTTCTTTAATTTTGAATACTTCCCCAGTACTATTATGTAAACATTTATTTGTGTTTTCAATTTTGGCTGCCATGGTAACCAGGTCATATTTGCATAAATGATTAAATTTTGATTATTCAGTCAATTTTGACAGGTTTTCACCTAGTTTTTCTCTTAGCTACCATAGAGCGCACTCTTAAACAAACTTTATATTTCTCCTTAAGATGTATTACAGGTTCCTAAATACTATCCTTTGATATTAAGTTTGTTCAAGCATGTGCTCTATAGTTTCTAGCAGAAAAACTGCAAAATATCACAATATTCACTGAATATACATTTTTTTCTAATTTATGCAAATTTGAACTTGTTACCATGGCAACAATTATTAGAAATATAAATAAATATTTTCATAAACGTATTTGGAAAGTATTCAAATTTCAAGAAACAGTCATTTCAAGTTCATTTAAAGGTTTTGAATTTTGATGCATTTGGGGGCCAAAACAGGCCCAAACCATACATAGTCCTTTGGTCAAAATCCTTCAATTGGTTTTGAAGAAGTTTTTAAAGATTAATCTATTTTCCCCCTATTTGGCCCCTCTGTCCCCAGGGGGACCATACCCTCTGTTTATACAAAACAGAGAACCCTTTGGCCAATGATGCTCCAGACCAAATTTGGTCAAAATCCCTTCATCGGTACAAAAGGAGAAGGATTTTCAATGTTTTCCTCTATTTTCCCTAATGGGCCCCGACCCATCTGATCTACACACCCCAGTTTATACAAAATTGATTCTTTTGTTCCTAAGCATGCTTAGCTCTATTTCCCCTATTGGGCCCAGCTAGCCACTCTGCCCCTCAACCTCCTCCCCCTCCCCACAAACAAATTTACAAAATTTAGTCCCTCTGCCTATAGGTGAGCTAATAATGTTTATGAGAGAGTAGCTTTTGTTCAACTTCCTGGATGGTATCTTTAAAGGCGGGTTTCTTTATAATTAAATTTCTGTTTATTGGAGGGTTTCTTAGTTTATTTGACTTTGTATCAAAAGAAGGATTCTTTAAATTGTTTAATCCATTTCCTATTTGTGAGATGGTTTCTTTGTTTAATCAAATTCCTGTTTATAAGAGGGTCGGTGCCTTTGTTAAATCAATTTTATGCTTATAAAGGTGCATCTTACTTAAATCGACTTGTTGATTAATAGACGATGCCTTCAACACATCAATTACTTACAGGAAAGCTCCTTTGTTTAATCAATTTTCTTTTTGTGATACAGGTTCTTGCATAAAAATAAGTTTTTGATACAGGCTGTTGAATTTTTCTTAAGCATCAGTTTTAAATTTGCCACCTAATTTGTACTTGTCTATCACTATCGGACAAAACCTTATGTCAGGTCAGTCCTCTATTTTATGGCTCATAGACATCACCATATGCCCAACAATTGTATATATTGTTATGGGAAGGGGATCTCAACCATTTCAAAGTTATGACCCAGGGACTAAATCTGAAGGGGTGGGGTCAAACCCCAGAGCCATCCTTGAGGCATATGTGCATTCGTCTCTTAATACTCAGCAATTGTGTATGTGGTTATAGGGTGAGGATCTCAATCAATTCCAAGTTATAAACTATTTTTGGCCCCACCCCTTATCCCGAGGGATCAGCCTGTCCAATTGTACAATTGTTAATTCCCACCACCTAGGCATGTTTCCAACAAAAAAATGTTGATATCTATTGCTTAGTTCCAGAGAATAAGTCGCTTATAGCAAAACAGCCAAATTACCCTTTTTGGCCCTATCTCTCAGCCCCTTTGGGTATCAGCCCCCACAGTTTTGAATCCTCCCACCTAGGGATGCTTCCAACCAAATATTGTTGATATCCATTGCTTAGTTAAACCCTGGTCCTTCAGACCCGGTAAGCTAAAAATTGGATCCAGAGAAAATCACCCAGGGCCACAATAAATTCTTATGAACAGGGTATCACCATGCATGCTGGGACTCTTACATTATGTCTATATTCATCATTCTTGCATACTAGACCCAGATATTCGCATTTCCGGCAGTGCTGGAAAATTCTATTCGACCCAAGGGTCTAGATCGCTTACATGCGCAGACTTGCGGGGGAATTATGGTGACCTTTTAGGGTCACGTTATTGTCCGTGACGTCATTGTATGACGTTTTGGTGTTAGTCAGGGTCATTCACGTCACTAAACACCTGCCATCCGGGCTTCATATGCAAATGAGAAATGTGCGGACAGTTTACAACTTTACTAAAAGAGCAGCTGTTTTTAGGGGTTTTAGGTAATAAGCAAGAAAAAGAATCCATCCCTGATGTGAGGTAAGGATAAGGTTATTCAAACCCTTGGGATAAAATATGGAGCAAAGGACCCTCGGCAAAGCTTCGGGTCTCCTGCTCAATATTTTATCCCGAGGGTTTGAATAACCTTATCCATACCTCACATCAGGGATGGATTCTATTAATATAAGTTTGTCTTAGTATTTTGTCTGTCACCACCAAACTAAAAGTCTTATGAATACATGTATATAGTAGAAGTTCACATATGTAATGGTTGAAGTCATGTGAATTCATGAAGAAAGTCTTCCAGTGATAACATTGATGATATGACAGGTCATGGATGAACTACAACAGAAAAAAATCTTACTTGATATGGGTTCTCATTATGTTTGCCAGGGTAAGCTGTCGCTATCCTCTTCATTGCATACTGTAAATGGGAGACAAAATCATCTGGTACCTCATTGATTTTTGTGAAGTAGAACAGGTACAGATCCAGAAACTGTTGATGAATCTCTGGGTCATAAACTTTGTCACTTTTGTAGTTACTGAAAATTTGGGAATTATACCAAGTTTACATATTAACCCTGATATCATACATCCACTATCAAAAGTAGTATTATAGGAGTTTAGTGTAGTAAATCAGCTAGAAATTCTTATCCTGATAACTATCAAACAATTCAAACTGTCAGCGAGCTCACATAGATATACCCCGGCTTGCACTTACATGATTTCTGGAGCAGAAGTTAAAGTTTCAAGGGCCATAACTCCAGAAAAAATAGGTAAATCACAAATTCCATTCTTCATGCACATGTACATAAGATGTAGTTTAACACTGCCAAGTTACCAAAATATAAAAAAAACAGGTAAGGAGGAGTTGTGTTTACAAGGTTTCTGGAGCAGAACATTTCAAGAGCCATGACTCTAAGAAAAATAATCAAATTGCAAATTCCTTTCATCATGCACATTTACATACGATGTGCTTTCACTGTGTCAAGTTACAAAAATATCCAACACATGGTTTAGGAGGAGTTGTGCTTACAAGCCAGTAAGGATAATGGACAGATGGACATGCAGACAGGGTGATTCCTATTTACCCTCCTAGTTGCCATGTTAACAGATTTTGAAATAAGTAATACCGTAAATTCGCGCGTATAGTGCACACTTTTTTAGGTAAATATTTTCATGCCAAAAAGGGGGTGCACACTATACGCAGGAACAAGTCATTCTTGGGTTATCATTCTCGAGTTTCTGGTCCGCCATATTGGATTACCTCCCTTCAAATAGTTTTATTTTGAGTCGTCGGTCATATATGATAAGATTGAAGATTGAAACAACAAAGAATTAAATTCTTTGGCAAACACTAAAAAATCATTTTATTTTCATTTTTTTCTATACCCGAGTGCGCACTTTACCCGCAAATTTACGGTATATCATATTACAGGGTCTAATTAGACATTACTTTAATTTTCATTCAACTATAAGCTTTTATAAACCTAGAAACCAATTTTTAACAATTTATGAAAACTACACCATAGAATATGATAAGCTAGCTGTACCATTTCTTAGGACCGCAGGGGTCAAATCAATAATTTTTTTGACCAAATTTTGTACAATCCACTCAGGCAATTGGGGGTATTAGCATCTTAAAGTAAAATAATAGATAATTTTCCTCTTTGGGGCCCGGCCTTCCTAGCCCCAGGGTCGAACCAGCCTCATTTATTTAGAAAATTATTGCCCTCCCCGAATGAAGTTTCAGAGCAAATTTGGTTAAAATCGTCTCTGGTTTTTAGGAGGAGATGCGTTTTAAAGCAAAATTTTAGCTAAGTTCCCCTTCAGGGCCCCGCCCCCCTGGCCTCAGGGGTCGAACCAACCTCATTTATTTAGGAAATGATTGCCCTCCCCTACTGATGCTTCAGACTTAATTTTCCCATTAGGGCCTGGCCTTCCTAGCCCCAGGAGTCAAACCAGCCTCATTTATTTAGGAAATGATTGCCCTCCCAAAATGAAGTTTCAGAGCAAATTTGGTTAAATTAGTCTCTGGCGTTTAGGAAGAGATGTGTTATAAAGCAAATTTAGCTAAGTTCCCCTTCAGGGCCCCACCCCCCTGGCCTCAGGGGTTGAACCAACCTCATTTATTCAGGAAATGATTGCCCTCCCCGAATGAAGTTTCAGAGCCAATTTGGTTTAAATCGTCTCTGGGGTTAAGGAGGAGATGCGTTTTAAAGCAATTTTAGCTAAGTTCCCCTTCAGGGCTCTGCCCCCCTGGCCTCAGGGGTTGAACCAACCTCATTTATTCAAGAAACAATTGCCCTTTGCTACTGATGCTTCGGACTAAATTTGGCTGAAATCTTCTCTAGTGTTTAGGAGTATATGCGTTTTAAAGCAAATTAAACTAAATTCTCCTTCAGGGGACCCGCCCCCCTGGCCTCAGGGGTCGAACCAACCTCATTAATTCAAGAAATGATTGCACTCCCTTACTGATGCTTCAGACTGAATTTGGTTGAAATCCTTTCTGGCTTTTAGCAGGAGATGCGTTTTAAAGCAAATTTAGCTAAGTTCCCCTTCAGGGCCCTGCTCCCCTAGCCTCAGGGGTCGAACAAACCTCATTTATTTTAAAATGATTGCCCGTCCCTACTGATGCTTCAGTCCAAATTTGGTTGAAATCCTCTTTGGCGTTTAGGAGGAGATAAGCTTTAAAGAAAAAGTTGACGACGACGACGGACGATGGACGCTGCGCCACGGCATATATAAAGCTCACTATGGTCCTTTGGACAAGGTGAGCTAACAATACCTGCATGAATCTGAAACAAGAGGCCCATGGGCCTAAACGGTCACCTGAGTTAACAGTATTTATTTCTGTTGTTGAAATATGTACCAATTTGAGTAAAAAATAGTATAATGTTAACTTAACTTTGTCAGGACCATGAGCTGATCATTCCTAGACCAATTTTAAGTGAGATCGGCCTATTAGAACTTAGTAGCAAAATAGCGGCCATGGCAGCCAAATTGTATTTCTGATTGACCCGAAAAA